TTTACTAATATATTGCTGGACTTAACTCTGGTCGGAGAAAGTCGTCAAACCGTTTGGCGACTTATAAATCACCAAATACTGCTGAACTCTTTTATATATCGTTTTTTCCACATACGCTTATTTAGATTGTATTAGAAGTATAGAAATATGATTGGGCCAATTAGGATGTGTGAATTTACCTTTGAAATCTGGGGTTTTCATTATTTTTCAAAATATTCTTCTGCAGTGGGTCGTATCTTTTTTAAAAATTCAAAACTTTTTTACGATTTTTTTCTCTCACGCTCATTAAGAATAAAATGAAAAGTATTGAAATATGGTTGGTCCAGTTTGTATGTGTGAAATTACCCCAGAATTAGGAGTTTTTCGTTATTTCCAAAAATGCCCCTTCTATTAGTAGGTCATATCTTTTTAAAAATCCACCCCCCATTTTTTCTCACGCTGATTTGAAAGTGTGAGAAAAATAGAAATATGGTTGTGCTTGTGCAGGCTTGGACTCAGGGCTGGTTCGATATTATTTTTTCTCATACCTTTGACGTACCAAAATTTTTGGTATACAAAATTTATATATCCTTACCTTATCGAAGTTTCGGTATACCGCATTTCAGTATACCGAAGTTTTGTTTCGGTATACCGCATTTCAGTATATCGAAGTTTTGTTTCGGTAACGGTACGATATCGATAAATTACCATGCATGTCTCCCAATATAATAAATTATCAGACTAATGAAATATATTAAATTGGTGTTACTAGTGACATATTTAATCCATTATTAAAATGTTACATAATACAATTAATAATCTATTGATGTCATATTCAATATTGAACAATTATTATTATTAGTATATTTAAGCAATTCAACATGCCACGTATTAAAAAATAACATATTTTCCTCAAATAATTTGAACAATATAGATATAATTAAATCAATAGTGATCTCTAACAAAAAAAATCATTCAACATGAATATAAAATCATTTATTCCTAATATGATATTGTTTATTTAGTCATTTTTATAATTTAAAAAAAATATTTGAATAAGACTTTCGGACAAGGTTGTTGTGTGCCTCGACATGCGGAATCCCTATGTAGATACGTCACATAAGTGTATCCATATTCACTTGTCAGCTACTCACCGGTTCAACCATCGTGACTCGCAAACTCTTAGAGCAAAATGCACTTATTTCTGGACATTAGTACATTACTCATTAGTCATTAGGGTTAGTTTGTTGCATGTTACGTAGTAGAAGCCTAGAAGGATATATTGAATTTGAGAAATTGGACCTTTATTTTTGTATTTTAGTATTTGTAACCAACCTAAGTATTAAATTTGGGCTTCAAAATTGCAAGGGACTTACAATTACTTTAGAATTAAAAGTAATTGTTGGGTAGGGAGTCTTTGTACGGTATTATACCGGTATACCAACGGTATTTGAAAACATTTACCGTTACCGTATCGAAATAAATCGGTACGGGATGATACCGTAGTGAAAATGATGGTATACTAATATTCCATTTTTTCAGGTATTTTTGAGTATGGTAAATGCGGTATACCGATTTTCCAGTATTTTTGTCCACCCCTAGCTTGGATGTGTAGAATTATAGCTGAAATTATTTTCATTATTTCCCAAAATGACCTAATTTTCCATTAACATTTTTCATTCCCGTCGACGACCGATGACCCCCTAAAAAATCAGAATTGCGCCGTTGGCGTCTCCGTCACCAGCCAACCGCAGGGGTTCAGTGACCCCAAAAAATTTCCAGGTTGGATCCGCCACTAATCACAGAAGCTCATCCGCCACTGGACTACCCCCACCACCAACTCATTGACCCGCTACCAATGGACTGACCTGACTTCCCAAAAGAACAAAGGGGCACTTAAATAATAATTTAATTAATTAGAATAAAGGTATTAGGGGTTTAAAATCAATGTTTACTCCTATTTAGAAAAAATTAAGGATTGACTCTGCTTGGAAAAAAGTTGTATGTTTTACTTCTGCAATTATGAAGAAGCGGTTCAATTCAACAACTCACAACTCACTCCTCAACAGGAGGTCTTGGATTCCAAATTACATGGATGAGTTTCAATCTTATTTATCCCAGTCCCTTCCTGACCCCGAGTACGAATAAGGCAATTACTATTATAACTTCTTTGCCTGGAAGTTCTCACCAACGAAGAAAACTTTAAATTAAACCGAGCTAATAAGCCTCTAACGAAAACAACATACGCAAATGTAGAGAAGTTAAATACTACAACTCTATCCATTCAGTAAATGGATAAACAACTTAACGTTACAAATCCATACGACATCACCGACCCCAGGAGCATTTCAGCCGTTATCAGAACAACATGCTGATGGTGAATGCGTCTGATGAATACCTCTACCGTTGATTCCTTTCCACTATTGAGGGACTAACGTACGAGTGGTTCAACGCGCTGCCCGAAGGAAGCGTGGACTCATGACAAGATCTTGCCCAACGCTTCATCACCCACTTCCCTGGAAGGAAGCGCGTGAAGAAACATTTTTCTAATCTCCTCTCCGTCAAACAGCAACATGAATAATAATAATAATAATAATAATAATAATAATAAAGATTCAAATTAGATCAAAAAGATTCAGACCAAATCAAAAAATTCAAATTAGATCAAACCAAATTAAAAAAAAATCAAATCAATCCGACTAAATTTTAGAACATTCGGGTCAAGCGAACAGAACATCTTCTAATTTATGAATATTTTTGCCTCTTTGGTGCCATATAGCAGCTTGTTGTTACCACTTTGGCTTTCTCTGGCTCTTGACTAAAGTGCCAGGGACTTTGCAATTTTTACCAGTGATTTGCTGTATAACATGTTCAGAGATGCAGGAGGTTCTGTAAATTTACCCGTTCCAGCAAAGCAGGACCCCTAGGCACTAAGTCAAATGGAAGATGGAAAGTCTCAACCTCATAGGTGCTCACAAAATTTCCCTTTTAAGACCAAAATCAGGTTTGGATTGCGTATACCTGGGATACAGTCATACAACAAAAGAAGTAAAACGTTTTTTAAGGGCATTTTTTATCAAAAAAGAAAAAGAAATGAATAGATCACTTAATTGTGATAGACTGTTGTTGCTCAGTAGCCAGGACCTGTGAGGCTGTAACTTACCAGCAGCACTAGAGATTTTTAGCTTAACTAGAACACATTCAAGGCGCATGCAACATAAGTATAATGCATGCGTATGATCTCAAAGATACATAAGAACTCGGCCCCATCACGGTAAAGACGATACACAATCATCATTCATCAAGTTGTGAATATCAAGCTAATGAAACCCAATAAAACCTTAATTGAAAAAAGAACTTTTGGCATATCAAATGATACAATTGCTAAGGCAGAGTAACTTTATGAATATTTTTGCCAGATATGTTATCAGTGTATCACTATGTTGTTATCCTGTTATCAGAGAGAATACCAGCAAATCAAAACTCAGAAGCAGTCAAGATTAGTCTTTTTTTCTCAAAAATCGGACCCAAAAATAAGAGATTGTACATTTGTCAGTCTGAGGACTTGTGAAGTCCAATATTTTCTGAATAACCTATTCTTATCTCCATCAGAATTCAGAGATTCAGAGTGCTATGAGAGGCGTATCTCGTTTCATGGCATAGAAAACCTTACGCCTTTAGGGCTGAGGCATACATTTTGATGAGTAGGCAATAAGGCTTATCCTAAACATACACAGTGGATGGGCACCAATTAATTGAACTAATTAACCCAATAATTATTTCAATAATTGAAAAAATCATCCCATCCGTTCATCTGTGTCGCCTCTCGTATCAGTCCCTCTACTCTTCATTTGGTCTCCAATCATCGAAGCTCCTCCACCATTGTTATCTCCGGCCACTCCCACAAGGTACCCATGCAGGCTCTGTGGCATTCTTGCAAGGTACCTTCCTAGGTTTATAATGTTTAGTAAAATGATTAATGCGCATAAGTATTAATTAAATGTATGTGTGTAATTAACAATTTACATCATTTAATTACTTGAATATGATTCATAGGATTAAGTCTGAATTTTGAAAATATAATTGCTTTAATATTCCATATGTATTATTCGGATAAAGCCTGTATTTATTTGTTAAAAAAAGTAATACGTGGGAATCATAAGGTTTTTTTTAATTTGCCTGTAATTAATGCTTTCTTCTACGTCTCATGCACCATGCTGATATATTTCTAAAAAAATGTCCTATCATAATATCAGATGCAAACGCAGGTCACACGTCAGGTTTCTCTTGCTGTGTAGCCCATTACACTCCAACCATGAAGGAAATGAACACAATAAGTAACAGAACCATAGCTGTGTTGAGTTTTGGTTTTGACAGTTAGATACTGGTTTAAGGCACACACGATAGATAGGAGCTCTGCAAGATATTCAGCTTAATTGCTAGCTAAAACTTCAGGCAATTCATGTAATATGACCAACACTAAGATGAGTTTTCTAAAAACTTGATGAGCTTGTGCAATTCCACCTCACAAAAGGATAAATAACCAAGAACCGGACTCGGATCATAGCCAAACTTAAACACATAAGGCCACAGCCCATCAAATCCTCGGTCTCGACCAGTACATTTGTGTTAAAGCCACCAGATTGAAGCAGATTGGTGTATAAATAATCCAGAGTACAATAAAAGTGATCAGTTATCAGAACATTGAAGGAGTATGGTGGCTGTTAGTGCTTCGTCAACTACACATTGTTTTGAAGTTCATCTTAGCAGATTGAAATTAACGACAATCATTATTTATGATGCCCATATGGCCATATACAGCCTTGTGCCCTATTTGATTTCTTATCTTAAATTCTGCAACCCATTGTTCTACCAAGAGCACCAAGCATAGAGTTGGCTCGATGAATGCAACACTTACCTACAACAGCACAATAACCTCAAATGGGAGAAACTAACGGTTCTTATGCCTCAAAAATATCCAATTACTCTCCATTTTATCAATAGATTCAATAGACTCAACAGCAAGGTCAAAGCAAAAATCATCCAAATGATCACATTGTACTTCAGGTAGCAGATGCATTGTGTTGGGAATCAAAGCAAAAATTGAAAGCAGGGAGCAAAGAAAACAAAAATGCAAATAATTTATTATTAATAAGATTATCTTTACGAATACAGATTGATAACATCAACTAAAACACACAAAAAGCAGAATAACCAAAGACAAGCAGCAGAGTGGCCAGTTAAACAGTGAGCTGTACCCGTCAACGTTGTATTTCACATGTCAAGTATTCGAGGGTCTCATCACGCAAAGTATCATCAAACAGTGAAACCTCATTTTCTCTGTAATCTAGACGTTCTTCAGCATGTAATGATTTAATCCGGTTGTCGTCCCCAAATGCCACAAGTATAGGCTTAAACCAAAGAACCTCGGGTATTGCAACGGGAGAAGACAGTTGCGGCCACGGCATCTCATTAACTGGATTTGGATTACACATAGGAGCAAAGACCACTTCAGAACCAGGATAGTCCTCCTTGATTTGTTTGTAGGAGTCAAGCAACTTCTTGAAGAGAGAACTAGAGGAGCCAAAGTAAAGGAGGATTTTCCTGTTCTTGAGGCAAGAAACTTTCAAGTGAGAAGAACCTCGTTTGCATCCCTTGTAGGAAAGAAACGACTCTAGGGTGAGTGACCTTAAAGCCGAAAGCTTGTCATCTAACCATTTCTTTCTAGTGACAGGATATAAGTTGCTTGAGCCACACCACTCCATAAGAGCTAATCCACTTAGCTCACCGGAACGCCCACCACCAGCCCAAATGATTACATCATCTTCATATGGAACATTAACAATTTGGTAAAGTCTTCGGCTAACATGGTCAACAAAGGGAAGCTCCCACCAAGACGATATACCGTTCTCATTCAATGCCAACTTGAATGCTTCAGAGTAGGAAGACTCGTCAGAAAAGTAGGATAGGTTTATGATCACAACGTCAAACTGTTGCTTACGCTTAACACATCTGCGACGGAAGATTTCAAGACGAGACATAAATGCAGCATCAAAGCAAAGGTACAAGACAACACACTTGCTCTTGCTGAGGTCTGCAACAGATATTACCTTGTTCTCTTGGCTACTGCCATCACATTTGTGTAGGAGCATTGAGGATTCGCAGCACAAGAGTTCCTCCAGGGTCACAGGTTTAGTGCTGATTTCATCTTCTACAACGCCCTTGTAGAGAGGACCCGACCACCTCTTCAATGTCTCCTGGCCGTCGAGTTTCGATTGCCGGTAAACTGGATCCAACCTCATCCTTACCTCCTCAATTTTTTTCTTAACGGAGTCCAAGTGGTGATCAGTGAAAGGGAAGGACGCAGCACCATACTCTTTGAAACACAAAGTATCCGACTGCAAAACCTTTTGATCCGGATCTAGAACAAGACAAGCATCACTTTCAGTCAACCTCGAACTTTTTAACCCAAGAAGCTTGCAAATCGAGTCCCTGGTCGAAAAGTCAGAAAAGGGTACAGCCAAGCAAGGAAACGCAGAAAAAAACCAGTCGAAAGCAGGTTCCTCTTGTTCCTTAGAGATAAATGAGGATCTCATCTTAGCTACCATCACCATCTCGAAATTTGAGTTATTCTTCTTCAAGCCATTGTAAGTTGCAATCAAGCTGCGGCATACACGCTGAGGAGGGTCGCCAGCAAACATAGGCACGAAGAAGCAACAAACAACCAAATACTTACCGGCAATAGCATCGATTAAACCAACTCTTTCACCGTTTTTACGGACAAGGGAGTTTGTTTTACCGCCATTAGATAACAAGGAAAACACATCAATAGGCAATTTCTTGCCTTTCTTAATATTAAGAGGCTTAATCTCCTCCATAAATATTTCTTCAGGAAATTCGAAAAAGTCATGTGGTTCACCAGTAGTACAATCAGGGTGGATGGTATTTATTGGAGAAGGAAAATAGTTTTCTGGGTCGAATAGCGAATATGGGCGTCCTGCTCTCTTAAGCTTCTTTTCGCAGACGCAGGGGTCGTCGCTGCATCTTTTCAAAGTCCAACCCTTCTCCTTTTTGCGGCCGCTGCATCTCTTCAACGCCTCACTTTCCTTCTTCCTTTTGCGGCTGCATCTCTTCAACGCCTGACTCTCCTTTTTGCCGCCCCTGCATCTCTTCAACCCCCCAGTCTCCTCGTTTTTGCCTCCGCTGCATCTCTTCATAATTTAGGGTCATGCCTTGCTTGTATTCATGCGTGAGTATGTATATATACTAAACAAAACCTTCGCCCAATTATTACACAGTAAACTAAACTATACAAGCCCAATTAAATAAATAATATTTCCTCCTCCCCCTTGACTTTTGTCTCGTTTTATTTTTTTCGTTTGTCTCATTGAATTTATCTTATATCATATTTGATAATATTTGTATAGTTACAATTCCACTTTTCTTAAAAGTTGTGTCACAGTCTTTTGTCCCGAACATAGCGGGACGGAGGTAGTAATAATGATCTAATTGTTTGACGTGTGGTCATGGCAGGGGGCGAAGGTGGCAGAGGCTGGAGGACCAAAACTAGGGGTGGACTCGGGTCCGGGCCGGGTCCGGGCCAAGTCCGGGTCAGGCCTAGGCCCGGGTGGGCCGGCGGTTCAGGAGTTGTGGACCCGGGACCGGCCCGGGTAACCACCGGGTCAGGTCCGGGCCGGGTCGGGCCCATTATCAATTTTTTTCCCTCTTCCTAATTAACCCCCCTCCCACCCCCCACCCCCCAAACCACCCCAAATGGCCCAAAATACCCAGCCCAACCCGAAAATTGAAAAAAAATTGAAAAAAAAATTAGTTTTGGCCCGGCCGGGTCGGGCCTTGTTTTGGGTGACCCGAGCCCGGACCGGAAAACCCACAGGTCGGGCCTACCCATACTGGTCACTGACCGGGCCATCGGGCCGGGCCGGGCCGGAACAGTGCCGGTCCCAGGCCGGTTCCGGGTCGGGCCACCCGACCCAAGTCCATCCATAACCAAAACTGACGTGACGAGTTGTGGATGGCCGGGGTCTCAACCACCAAATCTCTGCATTAAATGCGCTTCCCGCCAGAATCTTGGCTTCCCGTCAAAGGGTGGAGACGAGCGTCCCCCTAAGGGGACGTTGATGGATAGTCTACCCGGGGGTATGTATCCGCAGGGTTACTGCGGGGAGTAACTGGAGAGAAGTCAGAGCAAGTAAGAGAGAGAAAGTGTATTGAATATATGAGTTCAAAGCGTATTCAGAATCTGGTTTACAAAGGGGAAATTGGGTGCTATTTATAGTAGCAATAAATGCGAGACGGGGACACGTGTCAAGCATCCAACGGCCGAGGGGTCACATCAACCAGGTGTCATTGGCATTCGCATGTGGCCGCATTTAATGCGGCAGTTGGATGTAACGTTGTACTTGGTACGGCGACCCAGGCGCATGTGGAGAGGATATTCTTGTCGAGGAAGGTACCCTCGGCTGTAGATGATTAGCCGAGGGCTCTTCCTGTCGAAGGCTCCTTAAGGCCGAGGGCTCCAGGTGCCGAGGGCTACTTTTTTTCGCCGTTGTCTCCCAGTAACTTTGTATGCTAAAAATAGCCTTTCTGTGAGTATCTGGAGCCAAGGGGCCGAAGGCACCCCCAGTGTGCATTGTTGGCTGCTTGGTACTCGGGGCGCTGTGATTTGGGCCTGTTGTGCTTCCTGGGCCTATTGGGCCTTGGTTATAGCAGTAGGAGTCTATGGGTCGGGGGTCCCTAGGCCATATACTCCATCACGAGTCCCTCACTCCTTTTGCCGAAAGGTACTTGAGGGAAAAGGAGTAATTGTGTTTGTCCTCTGCCGTTGTTCCGTTGTAGTTTGTAAAGTTTGTGAGTAGTTCGTTGTTTGCATGTTTCTGCCGAGGGCAGTCCCTCAATTACCCACATTTCGGGATTTGAGGGATCACGTTTGCTGTTGTGGGAGGTTTTTGATATTTTTGTATTTTGAGATTTTTCCCGAAGGGGTTCTCCTGTCCCCCACTCCTTGGGGCACTTGTAAAGTGGTGAAAAGGAGTAGAGTATTGCTTACCTGCAATATGGATCCGAGGGGTGACGCTTTTCGTTTCATTTTTGGGGGATGTCTTGTTAAAAACCTCATTAGAAAAAACCCTGTGGGAAAAATTCTAATGAGGGAAAAAGAGTGCACCGAATTCCCCCAATGATGAATCGAAAAGGTGAAACCCTGGTCTGAAATGTGTGGCAGTATTCTTTCCGAAGACTATCCTTGTCTGAGGGCGCACGTGTTGCTTTGCCGAAGGCGCGCTGTTGATATCCTGGGAGATGCCGAAGGGGAGCCCTCAATTCATGGGAATGAGAGCGCGATGAATGTAGGTGATATTTCTTGTGTTGTCGAGGGGTCCCCTGTTTGTTGATAAGTTGGGGGCCGTGGTGCCCCGAGGGGTTTCCTTGTTGCGTAGCCGGGGGTAATTGTTGATGAAGGTGATAAACCCAGAATACTAAATAATCAAACAACCAAAGCAGTTAAAAAGAAGCAAATAGAAAGATATATCAATATTATACACGAATCTGGTATATCGTATGAAACCCCACTGGTCTCCCTGGAGAAGGAGAGCAGCGGAAACCCTTCTCTCTATCTCGCCTCTGCGTCTCTAAAGCCTCTATTGATTCATTAAGGTTCCCGTAAGTTAGCCTCCTTTTATAGGAGAAGTTGGCTAACTTACGGGTTACAAGGAAGCCCCCGGGCTGATACACATTTGTGGCCCGTATTACACGTTTAATTAATAACTACACAAATACAAAAATATTTAATTAGATTGGACACCATAAAATATTCCTAACAATCTCCCCCTTGGTGTTCAATCGTGTTGAATCAGCATTGCAGCGCAGATATCTTTGTCTTTGTTGTTATTCAGCTTCCTTTGTCTTTGAACTTGACTTCTGAGAAAGGCTATCTGAAGAAATCCTTGCGATCTCCCCTTTGATGTCTTCTTGACAATTTGATCTTTGATGCCGGGGGTTGAGGGGCCTTCTGTATCTTGCATGTAGTCCTTGCCTTCCAGAAGTTGCTCTTGATCAGCCTGGATGAAGTCCGGTGACGCCTCTAGAATGAATATTCTTTGGAGAATAGGAGACGCTCATGGAATTCATCTTTAGGACACGGGTATTTGACCTCTGTCTCCTCCGCAATGTAGTCTTTTTGACTATTTGGAATGAATGCATTTGAGGAGAACTTGTCGGTGGCACAACGGAACATAATGATTGTTGATTTGTGAGTGTAGCTGACCATTTGATTTGAGTTGTAGAGATAGCAGAGAAGGTGTTGATTTTTGTGATGGAGGAGTGAAGTGTCCCAGAATGATTTGTTCAGTGTTAACAGCATGTGGACCACTCTCCCCCTCATGTCGTGTAGACACCCATTTTCATCACTATAGAGATAAACTCTAAAGCAATGGCCTGAAAAAGTTGGTGATTCTTATGTTGCAACAGCAGGACTTCCTTCCAATTATTGGTCTACATCTATAATAGATGAGCCCTATGGAAGTTCTCGCGGGTCATGTAGACCTGCAACTGACTCTAAAAGTGCGTCTGTGTCCTAGAAAATTTCATAACATTTGGGAGTGAGTAACTAGACACGACGTGATCAATGAAAATTCAGTGGCATGGGGCTGAGGCCACTGTAGTCAGTATTACTTGCCTCGGAAGGAGACAGTAATGAGAGATGCGGTTCCCCGTGAAGTATGATTAAACACCTGTCTGTTGGGAGACAAGTGAGTGGTCTTGGATAGGGTTCAACGTGCACTGTTGGACAAGATGCAGTGACTTCTACCCGGGATCTGATTAAATCAGTCCTGAACCTATTTGGGAATTGTCCAGAGTATTTGAGTGGCTAGGAGTAAATGTTAAATGGATAATAGGCAGTTGAGGTAGCAAACTCATCATTGATTATTATTTTTCTTCTCACTTGAGCCTTCTGCTTCCTAACGCTCATAATGTTCACTCACTCACTCGCTCACTCACTCACTTACGCTCGGCTTTGTCCCTTGGGTAGGCTTAGTTGGGTTTACTAAGCCATAAGGACATGTTCTCTCATTACTTTCTTCATTTTCTCTCTGTACTCCCCCTCAACTGGAGCACTCGGTATGCTTTGTCATTGTTAGGCACCGGGAAGGATAACTTTGAACACTCCCCCTAAAATGCAACATCCTTTGAGAGATTTCTTGCTTTGTCGGTGAATGGCGCCAGGAGTAATTAACTGAAACCCCCCCTCAAAATGTGCAAGGTTTGATTGCTCACAGCTCGTCATCCCTGCCATGTGTGTGGAGCAATATGAACAAGTACCACACATGACGGTTTCCCTGAGCTCATCATGTAGAATTTCAGCATATTGATGATCACATAATGTTGATGAGTCAGGTGAGGCTTCAGCAGTTGGTTGTTGATTGTTGTAAGATGACCGTTGACGCGAGTTTGATTGAATTATCTACGATTTTCGGACCTCTACAGTGAATTTTAGAAAAGTTTTGACCTCAGGGATGACAATGAAAGAATTTGAACAGATTCGCCTAAGTTTTGACCTCTACAGTGAAGTTTAGAAAAACTTTGACCTCAGGGTTTACAATGTTTGTCAGAAAACTAACGTTTTAACCCTCAATGACTGCGAGTGAGGGCGCGTGAGAAACAGTTCTGGGGCAGATACCGAGAATTAATGTAGATCTTTTCGTTAGCTTTCCAACAAAAAAAAGTTTGCTCAAATCGGATCACCGAGTCAAAAGTTATGGCCAAAACAGTGCGGTGTCGCAGAAAATCTCTAATTTTGAGTTTTTGAGGAATTTCTTCGAAGTTGAGGTTCTCGATGATGAATAACGAGAGCAGGTGGATTTTAAACAAAATTCTAAGGCAATACCTCGAAATCCGAATCTCGAGGTTTAAATCTCGAGATTACAATCTCGAGGTTTAAATCTCGAGTTTTAAATCTCGAGATAACAATCTCGAGTTTTAAATCTCGAGATTACAATCTCGAGGTTTAAATCTCGAGATTACAATCTCAAGGTTTAAATTTCGAGATCTTAATCTCAAGTTTGCCTCGAAGAATAATGGCGAAATCCACCTGCAAAACAAACATCAGAATATCGAAATCTGCAGAATTTCAAAATGTTTAGAGCATCGAAAACTTTGGAGTTTCGAAAACATTAGAAAATCGAAAACTTGCTATTTGAAAAACATCAGAACATCGAAAACTTCTAAAAACTTTGATAGGCAGAGATTCATTCAGATATCTTA